ACAAACTTTAAAAAAAAAAATCTGCAGGCATCAATACAGATTACGACACACAAAATGAACTATGGTTACCAAAATACTCAAGTATTGCAACCAACTGATTCTTGACAACAGTGCCAAAAACATACAACAGAGAAAGGACAGCCTCTTCAATAAATGATTCTGGTAAAACTGGCTATCCATATCCAGACTGAACATGACTCCCCACTTTTCACCCTGCATAAAAATATATTCAAAATGCATCAAAAATTAAATGTAAGACCTGAACTATGAACTTAGTAGAAAAAATGCAAATGAAACACTGTAAGTCATTAGTATAAGTAACTTTTTTTAAGAAGACAACAGAAGCAAAACTAGATAAACTGGATTATATCAAACTAAGAAGCTTCTGCACTGCAATCACCAGATTAACAAGAGAACAAATAGACTGGGAAAATATGTGCAAACTATTCATCTGAAAAAGAATTAATATCCAGAATAAATAAGAAACTAAAGAAACTCAACAACAAAGCAAACCATCCAGTTAAGAAATAGGCAAAAAATCTAAGTAGACATTCCTCAAAAGAAGAAACATGAATGGACAACAAATATGTGAAGAAATGCTCATTATCACCACCAGTCAGAGAAATACAGTTCAAAATCACAATGTATGATCTCACTGCAGTTAGAATGCCTATTATCCAAAAACATAAAATGACAACTGCTAGTGAGTATGCAGTAAAATGTAAAGTTTTATACACACACTGTTGGTGTCACTGCAAATAAATATAGCAATTATGAAGAACGGTATCAAGGTTCCTCTGAAATCTAAAAATAGTTCTATCATATGACCCAGCTATTCCACTTCTGGGTATGAATCTAAAGGAAATGAAATCAGCCTATCAGGAGACACCTGTACTCCTATTATCTGCAGCACATTACATTAAGTGAAATAAACCAGACACATAAAAGACAAATACTGCATGCTCTCTCTCATATGTAGAAGTTCAAAAAAGTTCATTTGAACTTAGAGTCATAATTACTAGACTGGTTAAGAGCATGCAGAGAAAGGATAGAGAAAGGTAGGATAAGGATACCAAAACACATGTTCTGTTTCTCCACAGCACAGTGGGGCAACTATTGTTCACAATTATGTATTACATATTACATAAAGAGCTGGGAAGGAGGAGCTGATAGGTTCCAAACATAAGATAAGGAAATGTAAATGCCAATTGCCTGATTCAATTTAACACTGTATACATGTGTTGAAATATTGCATGATACTTCATAAAAATGTGGAAGTACTATATGTTGATCAAATTTCAAATAAAATCAATGTAATTCACCATACCAAAAACAAAAAAGAACATCAATAGATATATTTGACAATTATCTAATATTCACTCCTATGATAAAAAAAAATCAAAGAATTAGGAATAGAAGTAAATTTCCTCGGTCTGATAAAGGACATCAGCAAAAAAAATCTATGGGTAACATGATATTTATGGTGAAAAATGGAATGAATTCACCCTAAAATTAGTTGGGTGACTCAGTATTGATAAGAAATTAATTTTCCCTAAATTGAACAAGATTCAACTCAGTCACAACAGGTGTTTTGGTAAAAATCTACAAATTCATTCTAAAATTTTTTAAATGGAAATACAAAAGATCTAGAATAGCAAAAACTACTCTGAGACAGGAAAACAAAGTAAGAGAATTAATACTTCCTGATTTTAAATTTATAAAGCTACTGTAGCCAAGACAGTGTGGTTTTGATGTAAAGATAAATAGAAGAATGGGACAGAATATAGAGTCTAGAAATAGACCCACAAATATGTTGGCAATTTATTTGCCCCAGAAGTAAAAAATAATTCAGTGAAGAATTGATGTCTAAAGCAAAAAGTGTTGAAAGAATTTAATACTCATATTCAAAAAAATGAGAAGAAAATCTAGACTTCCTATGATTGAAAACAAGGTAATGAAAGATATGCTCTCTTGGCCAGCGCCACGGCTCAATAGGCTAATCCTCCGCCTTGCAGCGCTGGCACACCAGGTTCTAGTCCCAGTCGGGGTGCTGGATTCTGTCCCGGTTGCCCCTCTTCCAGGCCAGTTCTCTGCTGTGGCCAGGGAGTGCAGTGGAGGATGGCCCAAGTGCTTGGGCCCTGTACCCGCATGGGTGACCAGGAGAAGCACCTGGCTCCTGCCTTCGGATCAGCGCGATGTGCCGGCCGCAGTGGCCATTGGAGGGTGAACCAACGGCAAAAAGGAAGACCTTTTTCTCTGTCTCTCTCACTGTCCACTCTGCCTGTCAAAAAAAAAAAAAAAGAAAGAAAAAGAAAAAGAAAGATATGCTCTCTTACCATTCCTATCAAGCACTGTATTAAAGTCTTAGTTAGTTCCCAAAATTAAGTTAGTTAGTTCTGAAACTACAAAATGAGTTTAGCCAAGTCTGAGAATGCAAGGTAAACATTGATAGAGATATCAACTGTATTTCTACATAGTAAGAACAGATCAATGGAATTTGAAACTTAAAGAAAAAAAAATGATTTCAAATGGCAAACGGCTGTGGCAGCCATTTGGGGTGTGAACCAGCGGAAGGAAGACCTTTCTCTCTGTCTCTCTCTCTCTCTCTCTCACTGTCTAACCCTACCTGTCAAATAAGTAAAAAAAAAAAAAAAAAAAAAAAAAATAGGCCCAAGGGAGTTCTTTACTCCCTTCCATGACGGGAGTTCCAACTATGAACCAGGGAGAGAAGGCAAAACTATGAACCAGAAAAAAAAGCCCTCAGCAGACACCAAACTCTATGAAATAAATTTATGTTGTTTACAGACTACCCAGTTTGGGGTATTTTGTTAGAGCAGACCAAGTCAACTATAATATTAACACAAATACAAAGACAGCTCAATGGAGAAAACACAGTATTTTCAATGAATGGTATGGAACAATTAATGTTCAAAAGCAAAAAAAAAAAAAGAAAAAATGAAAACTCACCTCAAAATACACCTCACACACCATACAAAATTATTTCAAACTGTATTTATAGACCTAAATGTAAAACATAAAACTATAAAACTTCCAGAAGAAAACATGGGGAGAGAAGAGCTTATATTTGGTGATAGATTTTTAAATGTAACATCAAAAGCATGATCCACACAAGAATGAAATGATACACTGGACTTCATCAAAATAAAAATTTTTTGCTCTGAGAAAACTGAAAAAATGAAAAATCAAGCTGAAAATTGCAAGGATGGAAACCTTCCATAGAGGCTGCAGGGAACAGATAAATCCTTGTGAACTCACTCTCACATCTCAGGTTCTCTTTTAATCCTCAGCTGCTGTTTCTCCTCCCCATTCAGTCTGAGACAGGTGAGTAGGAAGGTGCAGTCCTTACTTAACTGGGTACATCCCTATTCTCCAGGCCTGACGGATGATTTAAATTCACTATCCAGAGCTGTGGAGCTGAATCTCTCTCCTTGTCTCTTTTGTGAAGCCAGAGAGATGCACCTATACTCCACACAGCTATTTATGGAGGACAAAATCTCCTCATTTCTCCAGTTTATCCCAATTCACAAGACCTAGGAGGATTTTGAATCACCTTGTTGCTCACTTACACTCTCTTCTTTGATAGAAAATAAACATATCTCTGCTTAAAAAAATCCTGAAGGGTGCACATTTAGCACAGTGGTTGACACATTCCATTTTGCAGTGACTGGGTTTGAATCTTCTTCTCCCTCTGATGCATAACCTGAGGCCAGCAGATGATGGCTCAAGCACTTGGGTTTCTGCCACCTGCATGAGATAATCAGACTGCATTCTGAGTTCCTGGCTTCAGCCTGGCCTACCCCAGCCCGTTGCAGGTATTTGGGAAATGAAGCAGTTATTGGAAGATTTCTCTCTGTTTCTGTATTATCTCTCTGTGTTTAAAATAAATACGAGAAAATTTTAAATCCTGGAATGCTATATCTCTCAATGCGGCAGCACTATCTAGTGTCAAAGAAGTTTGTCAGAGTCCCGAAGTTTGACACAGTGGGTTGAGCCACTGCTTGTGACACCAGCATCCCTTATCAGAGTGCTGATTTGAGTCCCAGCTGCTCCACTTCCAATCCAGATCCCTGCTAATGCACCTGGGAAGGTAACTAATGATGAGTCAAGTATTTGGCCCCCTGTCACCCACATGACTGACTCAGTTGGGATTCTTGGCTCCTGGCCTCAGCCTGGCCAAACTTGACAGCTGCAGCTACTTAAGGAATGAATCAGTGTGTGGAAGGTCTCTCCCTTCTCTGTCACTCTGCATTTAAAATAACTTTTTTAAATCTTAAAAAAAAAAAGTGTGTCAGCTCTTCTCCAGCTGTCTAGATTTTCTGGGCTGGAGTCAATCTCCAGTCTTCCAACCTAGGCAAAATACAGGCACCAGTGTCCACCAATCACAGGGAACATATTTCAAAGCTCCCCAAAAAGGTCTCATAAAGTTCCCCTCACCAGACATGAAGTTAGAAATAGTACAGCCTCCTGACCGTCTCCCCAAAGTACTTTGACTCCCTCCAAAAACTCCTTTCTCTATCCCTTCAGATCCTCTTTCCTATTGGTTTTTTATATCTTTGATCTTGCTGAGTACTCTGTGAGCCAAGGAACAGGGCCTTCCTCATTTCCCCTACAAATCTTTATGAGGAAGTAAAGCTGTCACACTAAACTATAGCATCCTGATATCTCACCCATTGGAGCCTCAATCAAAATGAGGCAGGATGATAGTAAAGTATTCTCTGCAGAATGCTAAAACAAGAAAGACAGAGGTGACCAATGCTGGAAAGGCTGATGGAGAAGTTAAAGCTCTCCCATTCTCCTGCAGGAGCACAAACTAGCACAACCTCTGAAAAATCAGCAGGATCCTCTAAAATTGAACATATGCATATATTATGAACCTCAAATTCCACTCCTAAGTTTATACACAAGATATATAAATGTGTTCATATATACATTATGTGTATTCATCAAAATATGGTTGTAACAGTATTCCTTGTACTTACCAAACACTGAAGAAAAATTCACAAGGATACAAATAAAAAACTGTGGTACATTCATGCAATGGCACACTATATAAAAAGGAGGATAAACACAAGTACTTGCAATAGAATGGATGACTCTCATGACTATATTGAATTTTAAAAGCCAAATTTTTCAAAAATCATTCTTTATAATTCAATATATACAAAATTTCAAAGAGGAAAGACAAGCTCAAAAATTCAGGTTATCTTTAGGATATCAAATGCTTAATACTTGTTTTTTTTTTCAACTTTCACCACCAGTATCAACTCAGATCAATTAAAGTCAACCCCAAAATACTGCTGTAAGAAACAAAACATAGCAATAAAACATTGTTGCCTGTAAATATATACATATATATAAATTGCATAACATATTTAAATTATTTTTCATAAATTTATATCATTTTCTTTTATTACTGATTGATAGGTTAACTTAACTTTGTATTATGAATTATAGTTCAAGCATGATTATCACTATGAGCCACAAGAGGGCAGCAATTACAAAGACTGGAGTTTTAAATAAGGAATAAAGAAAACTATTAAATAAGAGAGCAATATAAATTATTAAGCTTATGAAACCAGAAATTTTAACCACAACAAAAAAAACTTAAAAAATTATTATTCAAAAGGTTTTAATTTAGCACTGACAAAAACAGAGATGTCTCTTTTATGTAAGAAATTTCAGTTGTCTCATTTTCTTTTCCCTACACACAAATCATGTGTGGACTTATATAAAATATACTTGCTGGCCGGCGCCGTGGCTCAATAGGCTAATCCTCCGCCTTGCGGCGCCGGCACAGCAGGTTCTAGTCCCGGTCGGGGCGCCGGATTCTGACCCAGTTGCCCCTCTTCCAGGCCAGCTCTCTGCTGTGGCCCGGGAAGGCAGTGGAGGATGGCCCTAGTGCTTGGGCCCTGCACCCCATGGGAGACCAGGAAAAGCACCTGGCTCCTGCCTTCGGATCAGCGTGATGCACCGGCCACAGCGCGCTGGCCGCAGCGGCCATTGGAGGGTGAACCAACAGCAAAGGAAGACCTTTCTCTCTGTCTCTCTCTCTCTCACTGTCCACTCTGCCTGTCAAAAATAAAAAAATAAAATATATTTGCTAACTTTAATATGAAAGTTCTGCATAAAATTGTTTCCTTATAACAATAACTTACATCTGTTTAGAACATGATACTTTTTAAGTAATATTATAAATGTAATATTTTGCATTTTTCACTTTAAATTCTTTGAAGTAAATGGTCCAGAAATTATTAAATCCTTTTCATAGATGCAGAAACTGAAGCTTAAAAAATGAACAACTTTCCCTACTTAAAATCATTAATAAGTTTAAAAAGGAAAAACTTCCTTCAATATATTTTTTACTATATTATAGTTGCCTGTCAACCAAACAAAAATAATAATTATACTTGTAAATTTGCTTAATATAAATGCTGGATATTATTTTAAATAGTTCTCTGCTATAATATAACTTCAGTTTTATTCATAGACCCTTGGCTAACAATGCTCTCTATTGAACTACTGACACTTAGAAATAATCTCTTCTATCATATCACAGAGCAAAATGGAAATACAAGTAAGGTTTGAAGTAAAACAAATAGTATTTCCAGAGGTCAACAATTGAAAGAGGAAGAAAGATATGCACACATCTAGGAAGCAGGCTAAAAGTCATCTCAAACATTGTTACATGAAGTTGTAAACATTACTGAAGACACTCAATTTCGTGTTAGCAGAGACGTACTGTTTGTTAGATCTGGTGATTAACTACATCATCTTAAGTTTATAGTATATTACCTTATAGTTATTTTAACAGACCCTAATCCAAAACCTAAAACCGTATCCACACATAACACTCACCAAAAAGTAGTTTGTTTACAGAAACAAAGTGATATAAGGAGGCTCACTTAAAATTATATTAAGAAAATCATGGAGAAGTCAGACTCAATTCCTTGAATAAAAGGATCATTTTTAATTAAAAAGAATGAGGGTCCAGCATTGTGGCATGGCAGGTAAAGCTGCCACCTACAATGCCAACATCCCTTGTGGGAACCAGCTCATGGATGTCCCAGCTGCTCCAATTCAGATCCAGCTCCACGCTAAAACACCTGAGAAAAGCAGTGGAAGATGGCTCCAAGTGTTTGAGCCTCTGCTACCCATGTGGCAGACATGGATGAAGCTCCTGGATCCTGGTTTGTGCCTGCACCAACCCTTGCTATTGTGACCATCTGGGAAGTGAACCAGTAGATGGAAGATCTATCTCCTTCTCTCTCCCTCTCTCTGTAACTCTCACTTTCAAATAAATAAATAAATCTTTTAAGATGATTTATGTCAAAATTCAAAATATAAGTGAATTATTCCCTCATGGAACCTGCAGTCCAGTGGTAGAAACATATATTAGCAAAAGATGTGGTGATATGAATTAAAATTTGGGGGTGCAAGAAGGACCATGATATGACAGGATATACAAGTTACATTGTCAGTCACAAAAATCTTCGCCTAGGTGACATTTTACTTGAGATTGAAAAATGGGCATTGGGGAAAGGACTCCAAGAAAGGGAATAGTGTACCTACCACTCTGAGTAGAAAGTGCTTGGCTTATTCAAGCAAATGAAGTTTCAATTTATTAATGACTAGCAAGTGTGAAAAATAAGGTATAAAAATCACAGTATAAGCTGGTGAGGACGCGGGGAAAAGGTGCCCTAATTGCAGGGAAAAGGTGCCCTAATCCACCATTGGTGGAAATGTAAACTAGTACAGCCATTGTGGAAGAGAGTATGGAGATACCTCAGAAAGCTGAAAATTGATCTACTATATGACTCAGCCATCCCACTCCTGAGAATTTATACAAACAAAATGAAATCAGCATATGAAAGCGTTGTCTGTACCCGCATGTTTATTATAGCTCAATTCACAATAGCTAAGATATGGAATCAACCTATCACGATTTATATATATAGTATAGAATACTCCTTAGCCATAAAAAAGAAAAAAATCCTGTCTTTTGCAACAAAATGGATGCAAGTGGAAACCATTATACTTAGTGAAATAAGCTAGTCCCAAAAAGACAACAGCATAGGTTTTCCCTGATGTGTGGTAACTAACAGAGTACAAAAGAAATGCAATGTGTATTGCAAAATTGACATTTTGGGATTCAATGACTGTTTACAGCCCTTGTCTCTATTGTTGAAGAACGGTGTTATTTTCTGCTTACTATTTGTTGTATTCTTTAGTTAGTATAGGGTTAATCTTTGAGTATCAAATAAGCTGAAATTATATCATTGTAAAAGTTAGTAAAAGAAACAATAAAAGAGGAAGGAGGAAGGGTGGGAGTATGGATGGGAGAGAAGGTAGGGTGGAAAGTTTCACTATGTTCATAAATCTGTATATGTGAAATACATGAAGTAGGTTCACCTTAAAAATAAATGAATTAATTTAAAAAAATGGGCAACACTGTAGGGATTCAGGCCATGAAATAGAATGATTTAGCATTTTGCACAATTACCACTGGTGTTAATTTCCTATTAAGTCCTGGGTCTTATGTTTATTTGTTTGCTTACTTGCTTACTTCTGTTGTTTTGTATTAAACTATAACATGTGAGTAGATTTATTGCTCATGTTGAATTTTCATAAATCACCTTCAAAATAAAGTTTCATATTTGGAAAAAAAGTCAGTATTTAGAGAATATGTGATTATATTTATATATTATTATAAATAGATTGGGATTAGAAAGCTATTGCCAAGCTCTTCCTCTAAAGACCAACATCAAATAGGATGCTAGATTGAGGGATTAAACAGCTCAACTCTAAGTTCACAAATCTCCCAAATCAACATAAAACCTGATGATACAACAACCTCTCTCTTTATCTTGCATGCAGAAATGTCTTGTTAAATAATATACTAAAATTTAAAAATTTATAAAGCAGTGTACATATTTTATCAATTAACTATTAATATAAAAGCAATTCCAATTTTATTCCAGCTTTAATTCGTGTCCCAAATGTAAGACATGATTCATCTTTCTAAATTCTCTAGTCCAGATTCCCAAGAAATCTACATAATAGTAATGGTCTTCTTTTTGTCTTTAGCAAAACTGTTTTCTCTGCTAATGAAAAATTTAACAAATGATATTTTAAACATCGTCAATGTCAAACTTACGTTCTAGTGCATTATAAAGAAGTTCAAAGTCTTCATTTGTTCTAGGATTATGCCTCCGGTAATAGTCCAGTTGCATCCATTCTTCTTTTTCTTTCTTCTTCCTTAATTCTTCCTCTGCTTCCCACTCCAATCTCAATTTTCTCTGTATGTTTAATTTCTTCACAAAGACTTTAGCATGCCATTGCCTGTAGTATGTCTGAATCCTGATCACCTATACTCATATTAAAAAGAAATTTAAAAAGTGTCTATCATTAACTTATTGATCAGATAATAAAATCCCAATTCAAACAACAGAAATACCTGAGAGTCCAGTTGTAGCTCTCTGTAAGATATTCTCATGTAGACTAGCATAAAAATCATAGCTAATGTTTGTCATTGCTATTGGACTCTAAATCTAGCAAATATACTTTCATAGTAGGTTGTCAATACAATGCTTAAGAGCACAGATTCATGAGTAAACCTTAGTCTGAAACTTGCTTAGCTACTCACTAGGTGTTTGATTTAGGGTAAGCTATGTGTCATCTCTGCTTTGGTACACTCATATGTAAAATAGTGACATATAGATTGCTTAGCCCAATCTGTATATCGCAAGTCCTCAGTAAATGCTATTATTGTGGTGAATCTGAATTATCTCTAGCTTATCTTAACTTTTATTACTTTAGATTCATTTTTAAGCAAACTTTTATTCCCTAAACATATAGCAGGTAGGTATGTGTGGAAAGCACCAAGGGCAGATTAGATAAAAGAATTAAGCAATCAAATATTTATTAAATTTATATGAAATGTAAATATATGTGAAGATACGATATATTACTAGATTCTCAAAAACTTAATAATATAAATGGGAGAGTTGATAATTTTATTTACTAAACTCATCAATAAAATGTGGCGAGGCTGGATCAAGACTGAGGAAATAATATTTACTGTCATACCCCTTCTCCCCATCCTAATGATTGGTAATTACAGAAAGATTATATAAAGCAGAGGTCAATAAAGACACTGCACCAGATCATACTAAAAGGGTCTGCCAAAGGAAAAGAAATTATGAAGAACGCATTTGAGTATCTGATTTATAATTCTGGAACCACTTCTGCAATTTCTAGCTTGCCTCTCCAATGATATAACTTTCTTCAATTTATTCCAATTGCCTATCAGATCCTCACTGGATATGAGGAATGAAAGATGAGGTAGAAGAAATGAAGAAAAGGCCGGCGCCGCGGCTCACTAGGCTAATCCTCCGCCTAGCGGCGCCAGCACACCAGGTTCTAGTCCCGGTCGGGGCGCCGGATTCTGTCCCGGTTGCCCCTCTTCCAGGCCAGCTCTCTGCTGTGGCCAGGGAGTGCAGTGGAGGATGGTCCAAGTGCTTGGGCCCTGCACCCCATGGGAGACCAGGAAAAGCACCTGGCTCCTGGCTCCTGCCATCGGATCAGCGCGGTGCGCTGGCCGCAGCGCGCCGGCCGCGGCAGCCATTGGAGGGTGAACCAACGGCAAAGGAAGACCTTTCTCTCTGTCTCTCTCTCTCACTGTCCACTCTGCCTGTCAAAAAAATAAAAAAAAATTAAAAAAAATAAAAAAAGAAATGAAGAAAAGAAGAACTAATTAAGGTTGTTTATTTTTTCAGAAGATAATACAGCCTGATTACAGATATAGTTGGTATAAAAATTTTAGGAATGTTAAAAATGGAACTGCAAGTAACTATTAAAAAAATAAAGTACCTATTTCCAAATTATAAAAGGACAAAAAATAAACACCTTTGATCAAAGCAACAAACTGAAGAAAAGATTAATGAAAAGATAAACAATTAGTAAATAAAGATAGATGGCAAGAATGAAGACAAAAATATCAGTAGTTACTAATACAATCTTACCTAATATAAGACAAAAATAAATACTAAGCAATTAACTTATAAAGAATAAAATAAACATGACCTGGCAGAAAGGAATAGATGAAGATATAAGAAGAACTTATTATAAATTTACTTCTGCTGGCTTTTAACTAATGCCTCTGTTCACAGCACACACTTCATTTCCACTCCACACAGAACCTCCAGTTCACTTTCTAAGTTTCCATGGGGCAAAATCAATGAGTCCTGATGCCATCCTCACTGTTATACATTTAGATTTCACTTTCTCCATTCTAATAGGTCAACACTTCTCCATCTGTTTTATGCCTTCAAAAATATCAACTGGCTTTACTCTTTCTTTTCATGTAATCTTGGTCCCTGTGTTTTCATTCCTCTAAAATTAATTTTTTTTGGAGTTTGGAATATGGCATAAGCAATTCCATTTTCCTGCCTCATTTCCAGTCTCATCTATTTCCTCACACTAAGAAAACTTCAAGCTTCTTGAGGAACAATATGCTGTTTTTTAAAATGCACTAATCATTACTGCCATGAGGGAGTTCACATGACACAGTTTAGGCCAATGACACGTAAGCGGAGGTCTTCAGGTGAGGCTTTCAAGGGAAAGCCTTAAAGACAGCACACATGAGAAATGCTGCCTTGGCCTTTCTTTTCTTGTTGCATAGAATGAAGATATGATGGTAAAGGTGAGTAAACCATTTTATCATCGCACAGTAACAAGCTCACAATGAGATTAATGGAGTGCAAAGACAAAAGGAGCTAATGTTTCTAATAACATCACAGAGACCCATCCAAGCCTAGCACAGTAAGAAAGTAAAAATTAGTTTGGACTGAGAAAGTTAAAGATCATCATGTTCTAATAACAGTCAGCTACAAAATTAATAGGAAACAATATTTCTCCCAAGGACACACCACAGTTACAAAATGTCACAACTGTCTCTGAGTGAATACTATTTTCTTGCTAGCTGAGAAACTCTGTTCCCTAAAATCACAAGTTAACTTTGCTGGTTGAAATTATTAGACCAGTAAGAATGAAACATCACATTCTGGCCTACAGGATGTAAATGACAAAGAGAAGCAGCTTTGGTTTATAATAAGGTACTGAATTTCTGAGAAGCTCAAAAAAACAATATTCTACATCTTTTTATTCCTAAGAGAATAAATCGGACCTTGGCCTGCTTCACAGTCCAGATCTGATGGTGATCCGTTCATACACAGCCTTCCTTTGCATTAACACTATCAAGATCCCATTTCACTTAAATTTTACCTAAACTTCACTCTTCTTCAAAATTCAATAATAACTTCATCCTTTCTTTTGTTTGGTAAAAAATTAGTTTAAACTGAAAAAGTTAAAATTCATCAGGTTGGTACAATAACTGGCACCCAGCTACAATGTGAGCAGTCTCCTTCGGGACAATGAGTCAGTGGACTTCACTGTTTTGGTACCAGAAGTTTATCTCTCAAGATTTAGTGTCAATCGAGCTAGAACAACAATCTCCAGATTTCTTGTTAATAGAAAACCAAAATCTGCCATTTAAATCACTGCTTCCGGGTGGGTCATTTTTACACATTGCTAAAACAATGGTAGGAGATGGATCCAACTATATGCCTCATGAAAGAACATACTGGTTGAAAGCAAAAGGATGACAAAAGGTAGTCCATCAAACACTAAGATGAGAGAGTTATAATGGTTATAGGAATATCAGGGAAAGTGGATACTAATGTTACATTCAGTCTCAATTAGTCTGGAAAGCGCCCTACATGATTTTTCTGTGACAAGAGTTAAGGTCCTGGGACAGAAGTGTTGAGAAGGCTAATAAAGACCAAGGCAACAACAACAACAAAAAACACTCGAATTTCCCTAAGCAAAAGAGAGGATTAGAAGTATTTAAGCTTCTGGTCCTTCACATGGAGGGATATTAGATATAAAGACTGTTTTTATTATCAATGAAATATGACCCATATTCATGTGGATTCTTTCTAAAGCTGGTATGGCTTAGAAAAACTTACACAGGCACACACACACACACACACAATAAGTAATTAGCTTAATTACTCTAATTTTAATATTTAATATTCATCTACCAAGTTATCTTACCGCCTGTAATATTTGATCATGGTATTCTTCAGCTGAAAAGTATTCTCTTGGTTTTACCAATTTATCAGTTATATTTGAAACATACACACCAATTTTAGTCATTTGTGTGGATGTTGTATTTGTAGTTTGTTGAAACTTTTTTCTCTGAAAAACTGTCTAAAATAAAAACATGGGAAATTTAAGTAAGTATCCTCTCTATATATACATACATAAGTATGCAAAGAGAATTATGTTTCCATGTATTAACTTTTATTACTTTAATTTCTGTAAAATTATTTAGAAGAATTGAGAATCATATATTATGCATCCTATAACTTCAGAAACCAAAATGGAAAAATAAAAATACTACCTGTGTATCCCTACAAAATACATTAGATTTTCCAGAAATCTTCTTAGGTACAGTTTGTGTTCCAGCATTATGATATTCTACTCCTGTTATTTTGTGTCTGAATCCACCAAGAAATGGTTTGTGAAAGTCACATTTGATAATCTCAACAGCTACCTCCTGGTACTGATCAATGCCTGAAGAGATAAAACCAAAATTAAATGAAACTTCAACTACAAAGGGACTGTAAAATACTTTATCCAGGACATCAAATAACTAACCAGTTTCTATGGTGACAGTTATGATGTGAGAGATTTTATTTAGTCCATCTACTCTTTTGATTGGATACAGATCTGGATTTGTAGAAAAGATTTCCATTTGTATAATTTCCTGTGGCTTGACTCCATATTGAACTAGGGTCTCATTATTTTTAACAATTTGTCCTAAAAAATGAAAAATTTTAAGACATTTTATAACAGTAAAAATGGCTATCTTCTTTTGGCTGCTTTTTAAATGACAAAAATTATATATATTTATGGTATACAATAAAATCTTTTGATATACATATACATTGTGAAACAGTTAAACCAAGCTAACTGGTATATCTATTACTTTGCATCCTTATCATTTTTTGTGATAAAAACACTTAAAATCTACTCTCTTAGTAACTTTCAAGTATTAACTATAGTCACCATGATGTACAATAGATTTCTGGAAATGGTTAATTATATGTACTCATGTTAAGTGGATGGAAAACATCAAACATACTTGTAGCAACACATATTTAGTTAACAAATGTAGTACTAATGATTTCCACCTCTTGCTATAAAGTTAGTATAAAAAACTCCAAACTAGGAAAACCTATAGTGGCTTTCTTGAGCAGGAAATCAGCATTGTAAATAAAACTACAACTCTCAATCATCAGAAATAAATGCATAATAACCATGAAGTTCTTAACATTTAAAAACAAATCATTCTACAATAGGAGCAGAATCATATTCTAAATATTGGCGCTATAAGAAAAAAAACACAATGTGTTACATGCAACCACAAGCCATATCAGGGAAATCATGAATATTTCAATATCCCAGTCTCCTAGTACCGAAAGGCAGACACTTAGAATTCTGAAGAACCCCTTCCTTACTTTCTTTCCAAAATAATATGCCCACAGAAATTAATTCATGTCAAGGTAGAACTAAAATTCAGTTTTGGGTTAAAAAAGTAGATATACTGTTATTTTTTATCACTTCAACTTTTCCGCCCTTCTCCATCCTTCATGCACCTTGCCTTTGGTGCTTTGGATAAATTGACTAATTTTCTTTCTCTATTTTAAGATGTACAAAAACTATAATAATGCTAGAGGCTGCCATTTTGTGTCAGAAAGTTTATTAATAGAATCTATATTCAGGAGGTGGTGTTTAGCCTAGCAATTAGGATGCCTGAATTCCATATTAGAGTGCCTGTGAGCAATGTCCACCTCTGGTTCTCAACTCCAGCTTCCTGCTAACGCAGAACCTGGGAGACAGCAGATAATGGCGCAAGTAATTGGGTCTCTTCCACCCATGTAGAAGACCTCAACTGAGTTTTAGCTCTCAGCTTCAGCCTGGCCCAGCCCCAGCCATTGTGGTATAGGTAGGCATCTGGGGATTAAACCAGTGGATGCTAGATAGTTCTGTGTGTGTGAGTGTGAGTGTGCATGTGTGTGTGAGTGTGAGTGTGCATGTGTGTGTGTCTCAAATAAATGAATAAATAAATAAATAAGAATTTAATGCTTTTAAAAGTTAACATGAAAAAAATTAACATGGTTGTTTGGGCTTCATAACAAGTTGAAAAGGGCCCCAAATATGTCTAGATCCTAACCTCCAGGGCCTATGAATGTTATTATTTTTTTTTTTGACAGGCAGAGTGGACAGTGAGAGAGAGACAGAGAGAAAGGTCTTCCTTTGCTGATGGTTCACCCTCCAACGGCCGCCGCGGCCAGCGCACTGTGGCCAGTAAACCGCGCTGATCCGAAGGCAGGAGCCAGGTACTTATCCTGGTCTCCCATGGGGTGCAGGGCCCAAGCACTTGGGCCACCCTCCACTGCACTCCCGGGCCATTGCAGAGAGCTGGCCTGGAAGAGGGGCAACTGGGACAGAATCAGGCGCCCCAACCGGGACTAGAACCCGGTGTGCAGGCGCCGCAAGGTGGAGGATTAGCCTAGTGAGCCGCTGCACCCGCCGAATGTTATTTTATATAGCACAAGTGACTTTGTAGATCAGATTAAGAATTTTGAGTTGGAGAAACTATCCTGTATATCTAGTTAGTTCCTAAATGTAATCACATGTGCTCCTGTAAAAGGAAAGAAAAGGATTTGACTACAGAGTGAGTTACATTACAGAACTGAAAGAGACTTGAAGACACTACATTTACTTTGAAAATGGAAGAAGGGACCAGTGAGCTAATGAGTGCAAGGAATGCAACTCTAGAAACTAGAAAGACAGGACGTGGATTCTCGTCCTGCTGATACCTTGACTGTATCTCAGTGAAACTGATTTAGGACTTCTGGCGTCTAGAACTGCAAGAAGAGTGTATGTGTTGCCTTAAGCCACTAAATTTTTGACTCACTATTACAAAAGCCATAGAAAACTAATACAGGTTCCCACAGAGCTCTTCATTCCTCTATTCATTTCCATAGCAGGCATACACCCACCAAACTTGAGCTTCAGTTTTAGTAGTAAATGAAAGTACCTGTTGGGGCAGGCATTGTGGCACATTGGGATAAACAACCCCTTGGGATGCCTACATCTGGTATCAGAGTACCTGGTTCAAGTCCCAGACATTCCAAGGTTTTATCCAGCTTCCTGCTAATGTATCTAGGAGGCAGCTGATGATGGCCCAAGTACTTGGATTCCTGCCACACAAAATGGGAGACATGAATGGAATTCCTGGCTCCTGGCTTCAGCTTGACCCACTGTACATTGTTGTGGGCATTTGGAGAGGGAACCAGCAGATGAAAGATCTCTCTCTTCCTCTCTCTCTCTCTCTCAAATAAAGCACATGTTTTAGAGAGCAGTTGGAGTAGAACAAGGCTGCTTGCAATTGCTGCTGACATAAATCTGACTCAGTGGTGATAGCTGGTACTTACATATAATAAAAGGAAAGTCATGAAGTACAAAGAACAGAGAGATCTTTAGGTACCACTGGCCAGCTACCCAGTCTCAAAGTGCTCTCTCTCCCTCAATTTTGAACTTTATGCCCAGCAATTTAAAATTTCATGTTTGGAGTATTAACAAGTTCAGAATATCACTTTTCAGCCATGTGACTTTGCAGAAGTTCATACAGCTTTAGTTTCCTCCTCTCATTTAAAAAAAAAAGCCTAAACTTCAAAGGATCATTGTGCGGATTAAATGATAATGCAGGCAAAACACCTTCTAGATATACTCACACACAGTAAGTGCTCAATAATTTAACCATTATGAACATTATCATTATCACTATTATCACTAATAATTATTTATATTTTAGTCTTGTTTCTCCAATCAGACTTTAATAATTAGTTATTTGAATATACAAGCACCTTACTTTTGGAGTACATTCCCTATAATATGTGGGTACTATAAAACATTCATGGAAAATGGATTCAAAAAATTATTTATTCTGGTGTAAAAAAATTTTGAAATCCATGCATACATGGGAACTTTAAAAGTTCACTGAAATACATATTATGAAAAAATTATACATGGGTTTCGAAAGTTTTTGTGCCAAAATTCCAATTTTCTACCAAAGTAAACCCTCATGGTTTACCAAAAAAAATGAAATGAAATTTAATTGAGTGGTTTTCTCTGGAAACTTTTTGTGGTATTTTATAAGTCAGAACCAAAAAGTTTTTTAAGCATAAGCTTTTCTTTTCTTCTTTATTTGAAAGGCAGAGAATGAGACAGAAAGACAGAGACCTCCCATTCACTGGTTCACTCCTCAAATATCCACAGCATCCGGGGGTGAACTAGTTAAAGCCAGGAGATGTGAATTCAGTCCAGGTTTCCCACGTTGGGGCAGGAACTCAAGCATTTGAGCCATCACCTACTGTCTCCCAGGGTCTGCATTAGCAAGAAGCTGGAGTCAGGAAAAGAGCCAGGACTGGAACTCTGGCACTCCAAATGAGATGTGGGCATCCCAAGAAGCATTTTAACTATAACACCAAAAGCCCACCCCAGCACTAAACTTTGAAAATTAAATATTAGAATCTGCTTCAGACATATTCTATGCAAACATATATTTGTTATGTTGGCCTCATTAATTTCAAAGAGCTCTTCCTATTATGATACAAAGAAATATAACTCCAGGGGGCAGCTCAATATTGTCCGCAAAATATAAATATTCTTGACTTCATGGAAATGACCTTACTGTATAGTACAATCTTTTCCTATACATTCTCCATTACTATAAATTTTTCCAGTCTCTACTCTGCCCATTCTCCATATTTAATCTATTTCCAATCATTCAAAACTTCTTACAACTTTGCACAAGTTCCAGGTATTCTCATCTCTTTGGGACTTGGCATACTGTTATCACTTCATTAATTTAAACTGTTTAGAATATCCTAGCTTCATTGCTCCTGTTCCCACAGTTTTTCATGCCTACTTCCATTGTATCACGTGGTAAAATTGCATACATCTTCTTCCTTACTAGTTTGTAAACAAATTGAGATTGGTAATTTTGTCTCATGCTTCTTTTTATCTTCAGTTCTTAGCACAGTATGTAGAAAAGCGTATGTCCTCATTAAAAATGTGTTTAGCCGTTGTCCTGTCAAGGAACAACTTACTATTTTATTCCTTTTAGTATTTTTTTGTTCTACTTAATACCATTGGTTGAACTCTTTAATTAATACACAATTAGTCTTTTAAATTTAACTGAAAAGTGATCCCTGTTAAATATAAGAGTGGGAATAAGAGAGGGAGGAGATGTACAGTTTGGCACATGTTCACTTGGACTTACCCTAATGGTAGAGCTAGAAACATGCCAGGAGATTCCAATTCAATCCCATCAAAGTGGCATGTACCAATGTCATCTTACTTGTTAAAGTGATCAGTTTAAGTTCATAATTGATCAAAAAGATAGGATTAAGTGTCAAAGGGATTACATAAATAAGACAAGTGTCTGCAAATAATAATTGATAGAATTAAAAAGAGAGAATGATCTTACATGGGAAGCAGGATACACAGCAAACTCATAGAATGGTAAAAGCCCTAAACAGCACTCTGGCCTCAGAATCAGCCCTTAAGGCATTTGGATCCAGCTAAAAACCCCATGAGAGTTCTCAGGCATGGAAAGCCAAGACACTCTGGCAAAAAAAAAAAAAAAAAAAAAAAACCTAAATGAAAGATCTCTGTGAGATCCCAGAGGAAAGAACGGGCCATCAAAGAAGGATGTATCTTTCTCTGAAGGGAGAACTTCCACTTTGACTATGGCCTTGTCTAAATAAGATCAGAGTTTGTGAATTCAAGAGGCATCCATAGTCTTGGCAGCTCATGACAAGAGCTTCAGATGATTACTGATGTCATAAATAAGAGTGTCAATTGTTAAATCAACAATGGGTGTCACTGTGCACCTACTCCTCATGTAGGATCTCTGTCCTTAATATGTTGTACTGTGCGAATTAACGGTAAAACTACTATTCAAACAGTACTCTGTACTTTGTGTGTCTGTGTGGGTGCATTCCATTGAAATCTTTACTTAGTATAGATTAAATCTCTACCTATTAAGTCTTCACAGGTGAACTCAAAAGACATTCCAGATTATTCCTGTAAGTCAATCAGAGACCTTACGTATCTCTTCAAAACAAAAAGGATAAACAAAGCCTTTGCTTTCTCACATCAAGACTGCTGCACCATCTGTTGAAATCTCTACTTAGTATATACTAAGATGATCTTCTGTATATAAAGATAATTGAAAATGAATCTTGATGAAGAATGGGATGGGAGAGGGAGTGGGAGATGGGATGGTTGCGGGTGGGAGGGAGGTTATAGGGGGAAAAGCCGCTATAATTCAAAAGTTGTACTTTGGAAATTTGTATTTATTAAATAAAAGTTGAAAAAAATGTGTTTAATAGATAATCGCATAACCACAATATCCAAAGAGTAAATAGCAAAACATTTAGTATAAGAAATCAAAGATTTTTATTGCTTATATGTTAAAGCTAAGGAAACCTTGATCAACTTACTAGCCTCCAAACTTACCTGCATATTTCACTTGCAGCAAGTAAGGTGGGACATCTAATAAGCGTGAAAAATGATCCTTGAGTTTTTTAAAAACGCTGTCAAGTTTAAAAGGAATTATAACTTCCTGGCCCACAGGGCTAAGTATAACTTTTACTGTAGATAAAAAGACAAAAGAAAGGATTGAAGTCAAGCATAACAAGATTCAGCAACCTGGAGTTCCCCAAACAAATACAAAACTAACAGTCAATTTTTAATCATATGGAATGCAGCCTGCCTTTGCATGCTTCCCCACTACAGTGCAATGACTTTTAAGAAGTCACCGACATTCAGTTGCAAGCTTCTGCTTTGAAAATTAACCCAAAAATCTCAAGAATTAGCATCCATTTTTCAATGCCTGGTATATAGTATTCAGCTATAAGCATAGGAAATATTTCAGAAAATCAAGCATTATTGTGTAGTGACTACAGGAAAGTGAGACAGAAATGGTGTCCCAAAAGTTGGAAAGGTGCTGCAACTACTTTTCACAAAAATGGACATTATACAGCTCATACTCCACTCTACAAAACAGGAAATGAAGATGTTTCCATCTTAAAAATAAAAACTATTATTGCAAAACATTTACCTATTCATAAAGTATAGGAAGGAAATACAGCATTTTAAAAATAATGTAAACTTTTTTATTAATATCTATAGAATTTATATTTTAATGGAGAAAATAAAGATGAAGTGGAGAATGCACACTGTGGGCCAAAAACTTTTATGTATTTCTAGACACTTTATGTTGTTAACATAAAACTAAATGAGATACTTACCAATAATCCCATAACAAAATTTAACCAGGCATCAGCATTGTTAAGATTCTTTGAGTATGTTAAAGTTTGTTTCTCTAGTTATCTACCACAAAGAGAACACTTTCACAGCTTAAACACATGCTATATTATCAGAAAGCTACAAAAAGCTATGAATAAAGTATTTTTAAAACTTTCATAGCAGTGACTTCTTAAACTTTGGGAAGGGAAGCTATGTTAAGGAATTTGTGAAGCTCAGGAAGTATAGTACTCAAACAACTTTTTAAAAAATCACCATGTGTTTCTTATAAGTTATATTTTCAGGCAATGACAGAAACATCCAAATTGGAAGCCAAATTTCCAATGAATAATAAAATTGAGAGATTGATCTTAATTTGTCTTCTTGCTTTCCTCCTTCTTATTCTTCCCTTGTGTGTGGATGCTCCACACTATGGGAAAGTATCCCACTGGATTCAAAAGCTACATGTTGCCAGCCAAACTAAGCTATTGTTGTTATAATCATCAAATTATGGACCATGCACTCCACCCTATGGACAGAATCTCTCTCAAAACACGCCGATATAGAGGGAAAAACAGCAGTTAAACGCCCAAGTAGAACAGGTCTCTTTGTAACTGCATTATTGCTCTTCACCCACTGCTTTGTCCCCAAGAATGTGGTAATTCCTACATGCCATCAATATTCTTTTGTCTATCAATTTAAAATTAGCCTACAATGAGAGGCAGCAATTCTTCTGAAGCTAAAAAAAAGTTAACACTAAGCAGACTATAGAAATATGTAAAAGCAACATGATATATAGAATGAACACTGGATACAAAACCAGGAAATCTGGAGTCAGGCTCCCATCCGACCTCTTATTAGGTATGCACAATTAATTCTAAATTGGAATGCAAAGAAGTTTCAATTAAACTCAAGAATTTGTCCACATTTCTGAAGGTTCTTAAACATATTTAACACCTACTGTATTTGAAAATTTATCAATTTTAAAGTTAATGATGCTCATCTGTTGAGGAAGAACAACCCATGCAGGATAATGAGGTATTCACACATAGTTTAGAGATTCAAGTGCAACTATGGACCTCTAATGTTTAAGGAAAAGGGAAAGCAAGTCTTCCAATAAAAATAAATAACCAAGAAAACGGAACCATTCATCACAATGAGGAAATGAAATATTCTGTCTCTCCTTGGTAATATTACCTGTTGCTGAAGACTCTACCACCGATGTTTGCAAAACCTCCTTTATGGCCTTTATTCTATCCAGAAATGCCAGATTATCATTTGCACTTGGTTTGTGACTCTGTCTTGAAGTAAGTAGAGCCGGTCCAGGTGACTGACCCTCTTCCATGGGTTGTTCTTCATCACTTGATTCTACACTTGAAACGCTGTGGTCAGTTTGCCCCTCATTAGGTATTTCACGGCCCTCATTGAGTTGGTTCAGTTCGGGCTCATGCTCTTCAGTTTGTGCTGACTCTGCAAGCTCTTCAGAGGGAACTGGAATGTCTACAGTGTCAAGGGTATCATTGCTTTCATCTGCCAAATCAACCGTCTTCTGAGCATCAAACTGTTCCTCCTCCTGATCAGACATTTTTCTAAATTAAGAGAAATAAACACATTTATTACATATGAAACAGTTTCTACACAAAATATCAAATCCATTACTAATATAATGTTAACAATATACTATAATGTTGTTCCTTATTTTTTTAAACATTGACTATCCTAGTAAAAACATCAGGCAAAAAATCACTGGTGAAATTTTAATAAAAACACTACAGAAACTAAAAATGAGTAACAAAAAGAGAAACTCAAAACAATAATAGAACAGAATTCTTGAAAAATTATGAAAATAAAAACCTTTAAAATATCCTGCCACCACCTCCTTATTAAATAAAATATGCCTTAAGAAAGAAAGAAATTTTGAATTACTTTCTGTGACTACATAACTGACATGTGATTTATGGTTTTGGTTTTACAAATGATTGGAAGCTCTAGAAAACCAGTCACAGCCACAGCAACTGTACACTCAGTCACATGTCCTCTTGGCATACAGAGCAGGAGTTGGATCAGAGCAGGGAGGAAGCAGAACATCAGGGAGCTCACATATAGAAGCTGGAAGCCAGGAATGCAGGTGAGTAGAGAAGGAGCCCTGAGGACAAATTTCTGGCTACATCAGGGGGAAGATTAAACGTAGGAATAATGGAAAGCTCTACCTGGGGCTTCTACTTTGAGCACAAATCCTGTGAAGGAAAAAAAATTCCCTAGTCAACTAAGTTCTCTGACTAGTAGAAAATGGAATACCTGAAATAAAAATATATAAATGTTGAACTCTGTGACTAATCTATGTAATATTTAACAGAGTTCAAGAGAGTTAGGAGACAAAAAGATTTTATATGGAACGTTGCAAAGGGACAAGGATATGAAAAATATTGGCAACTAAGAGCCATGGAGAAGAGAAAAAGAAAATCTAAAATATGTTTTTGCTAGGCATGTACTTTTCTGTGAGCTAAGTATGATAGAATATTGTTAAAGTAAAAAATAACTGAGGCAGGCATTTGTCCTTCCTAGTGGTTGAGATGCTGTTGAGATGCCTGTGTCCATGTTGGAGTACCTGAGTTCCAATCCCAGCTCTACTCCAGATTCTAGCTTCCTGCTCATGGAGACCCTCTGAAGCAGCAGGTTATGGCTCAGATAGTTGGGTCCCTGCCACCCACATGGGGAGCCTGGATTGAGTTCTGAAGTTCTGTTAAATGCTTTTGGGGAGTGAACCAACAGATGGTACATCTCTGACTCTGTGTGTGTGTGTGTATGTGCACACACATGCATGTGTGTACATATGTGTGTCATTCTGTCTGCCTTTGAAAGGAAAATGTTTTTAAAAAATAGGAAATTACAATAGTAATATGCAATTGGGAAGGGAAAGATTTATGCTGTTTACAAAATTAAGAGACATACACTTTTTAAAAAATGATTTTATTTATTTGAAAAGCAGAGTGACAGAGAAACAGAAAAAGACAGAGATATCATCCATCTGCTGGTTCACTTCCCAAATGTTCACAATGGCCAGGACTGGGCCAGGCCAAAGACAAGAGCCAGGAGCTCTATCCTGGTCTTCCATGTGGGTGGAAGTTACCTGCAGTTACCAAGCTTACTTTGTAGTGAGGAAAACAGAAAACAACTAAATTAGTAAAATATAGAGATAGTCACAAAAAATATAATAAATAAAGGAAGGTGGCTAAGAAGTATGAGTGTTAAAAGGGAGAGTGCTAGAGAGGGTTTTGCTGACGTGTATCTGGTAGGGAAGGAAGACTCACTGTTAACATTTAAGCAAGAGGCTAAAATGAGAAAATAAGCCAGGCATGAGGACAAATGAGGAAGTAAAAAACAGAAAACTTCTAAGAAATATGTGGTCATCTTGTGTGGCTAGAGAGCAGTAAACTGGCAGAAAAGTAGAAGAATTTGAAGTCTGAGAGGAGGTTATGGGGAGAGGGCTTTGGATCATATGGGGCCTTGTAGACAATTACAAGACTTTAGCTTTGATTCTAGGGGAGGCAAACAGAAGGTTTTAAGGAAAGAAATAATGCTCTAACGCACAGCTTAACAGAGGCACTAGACTGCTGTGTTACCAAGAAGACATCATGGGATACAAAGGAGTACAAAGCTGGTAGGCCATCAGGGGTCTACTGGAAGCCAGTGAGAGCAATTCAAGCATGAAAAGCCAAGACACTTTTGCAAAAAAATATCCTACGTGAAGGATCTCTGTGAGTGAGACCCCAGTGGAAAGAACGAGCCATCAAAGGATATACTTTCCTCTAAAGGAAGGAGAGAACTTCTACTTTGCTTATGGCCTTGTCTAAATACCAGTGGAGACTGTGGATTCAAAAGGCTTCCATATCCTAGGCAGCTCATGTCAAGAGCCTCCGGTGATCTCTGACATCATATATAAAAGTGTTAATTGTTAAATTAACAACAGGAGTCACTGTGTACTTACTTCCCATGCAGAACCTCTGTCCTCAATGAGTTGTACTATGAGAATTAACTGTAAAACTTGTTCTGTTTTTTACATTTTGTGTGTGTGTGTGTGCAAATTGTTCAAATCTTTACTAAGTACAGAGTTGGTCTTCTATGTATAAAGTTAATTGAAAACAAATCTTAATGGAGAATGGGACTTGTAAAAGGAAAAAGAGGAGGAAGTAGGGTGGGAAGACAGGTATGGTGGGAATAATCACTATCTTCCTAACATTGTACTTATGAAATTTGTACTAATTAAATGAAATTTTTCGTTAAAAAAAAAAGTAAAGAAAAGATTCCAAAATGTGCATGAGAGAAATGCCAAATTACTTTCAGAGGATCTCCAATTAGACTCACAGCTTACTTCTCAGCAGAAACCCTACAGGTTAAGAGGGAATGACAAGATATGGTCCAAGTATTAAAATAAAAAACTGTCAACCCAGAATATTGTACCATAAAAAGCTCTCATTTATGAATGAGGGTGAAATAAAGACTTCTATGACAAACAGAAATTGAAAAATGTGTCACCACTGTCCAACCTTATAAAGATTCCTAAGGATCTGCTACACACAGAAAGAAAACCATCATTATGAAAGAATGTAAAGGTAGAAAATCACCCAGTAAAAGTACAAAAGAAATCCAAAGTAAACAATAGGTATATTTATGGAAAAATGGCAAGGTCAAGTCACTACTTATCAATAGTCACCTTGAATATAAATAGCCTCAACTCTCCAGATAAAAGACATAGACTGGTGGAATGGATTAAAAATCAAGACCCATCTATTTGCTGCCTACAATAAACACATCTCACCAACTAAGATAAATGCAAATTTAAAGTGAAAGGATGGAAAAAGATACTCCATGCTAATGGAAAGCAAAAAAGGGCAGGTGTTCCCATTCTAAGACAAAATAGACTTCAACAAAAAAATTTTAAAAAAGACAAGCACATTATGTAATGATAAGGGATCAATTCAACAGGAAGATGTGACTATAATCAATGTATATCTACCCAATTATCGGGTGCCTGCAAATTGCTTTTGAAAGAATGGACATTTTGATGATATTGATTCTTCCAATCCATGAACATAGAAGAATCGGTGAACATAGAAGATTTTTCCAATTTTTTTTTTTGTATCTTCTATTTCTTTCTTTAAAATTTTGTAATTCTCATCATAGAGATCTTTGACATCCTTGGTTAAGTTTATCCCAAGGCATTTTTTTTTGCAGCTATTGTGAATGGGATTGATCTTAGAAGTTCTTTCTCAGCTGTGGCATTGTCTGTGTATACAAAGGCTGTTGATTTTTGTGTGTTGATTTTATATCCTGCTACTTTTCCAAACTCTTCTATGAGTTCCAAAGGTCTCTTAGTGGAGTTCTTTGGATCCCCCAAATAAAGAATCATATCATCTGCAAAGAAGGATAGTTTTACTTCTTCCTTCCCAATTTGTATCCCTTTGGTTTCTTTTTCTTGCCTAATGGCTCTGGCTAAAACTTCCATTACTATTTTGAATAGCAGTGATGAGAGTGGGCACCCCTGTCTGGCACCAGATCTCAGTGGCCAACATCCTTTTGACTAGGGAAATGCTGGATGCATTCCCCCTAAGATCTGGAACCAGGCAAGGATGCCCACTCTCACCACTGCTATTTAATATAATCCTGGGTGTTTTAGCCAGAGCCATTAGGCAAGAAAAAGAAATCAAAGGGATTCACATCAGGAAACAGAATGTCAAACTATCCCAATTTGCAGATGACATGATTCTATATATAAATGAACCAAAAGAATCCACTGAGAGACTATTTCAAATCATAAAAGAATTTAATAAAGTGGAGGATATAAAACCAACATGGAAGAATCTATAGCCTTCGTATACATAGACAATGTCATAGCTGCATAAGAACTTTAAAATCCGTTCCATTCACAATATTTCCAAAAAGAATTAAATACCTTGGAATACATTTAACCAAGGATTTGAAAGATCTCTATGATGAAAATTACAAAACACTAAAGAAAGAAATAGAGGAAGACATTTTAAAAAAAATGGAAGAATCTTCCATGTTCATGGATTGAAGAATCAACATCATCAAAATGTCCATACTACCGAAAGCAATTCACAGATTCAGTGTAATCCCAATCAAAATGCCAACTACATTCTTTGCAGATCTAGGAAAAGTGATGCTAAAATTCATATGGAAACACAAGAGACCCCAATAGCTAAAATTATCTTATACACCAAAAACAAAGCCAGAGGCATCACAATGCCTGATTTCATGACATACTACAGGGCATATATAATAAAAACAGCCTGGTACCAGCAGAAAAACAGTTGTACAGGCCAACAAAACAGAATAGATAATCCAGAAATCAATCCATGCATCTACAACCAACTTATCTTTGACAAAGGAGCTAAGTTGAATCCTTGGAGAAAGGACAGTCTCTTTAACAAGTAGTGCTGGTGAAACTGGATCTCCTCATGCAGAAGTATGAAACTAGACCCATACTTTACACCTTGCACAAAATCCACTCAAATTGGATCAAAGACCTAAATCTATGACCTGATACCATTAGACTACTAAAGAACTT